CCCAATTGAAACGTGCGGCGAGATCGATCGATTGTTACTAGGCGCGCAGAGAGTTGTAACGATCGATCGATCTCGCCGCACGTTTGAATTGGGCAGTGGGCCGGCCTAAGACAGCGATTTTTAATAATTAATAACTCGCTGACTTTTGCGAAAATTGCAAAATGGTAGAGGACTTTTCGACTTAGTCTAGTCCATTCTATCCCACCATAAGCGTTGATGCGGGTATTACATAACACCCTGTATAAGCAAATATGAGAAATAGTAATTTTATCGGAAAAATTCATTATTGACCAAGTTTTTTTAAGGTTATTTCTTGAAAACTTTGTAGAAAGGGTTTTTCGGGGTCGCTCATTACGAATCTGATGTCATATTTTCAAAATTCAAAATGGTCCACCCAAAATTCAGGGCAGGATGCAAAGTACGTAAATTTTTTAAGTTTCCAAGTTTGTCAGCATTTTCGTTTGATTACGATATTTAGGGACTCATCACGTCCGCGTCGTTAACTCTGGATATTGCCAAGAATGAGTAAATGTTGCGAAATGATCAAATTTAAGTTTTGCATCCGCCATTTCGCGCGCGCTACTTGTTATATTCTATAAAAATTTTCAACTGGAATGTAGATTCCATGGGTCCTAATAATATCTAATTAATGTTTCTTAGCATAGTTGAATTACAATTGAATAAGTTTGGAATTCCGCCATTTCGAATGAATATGAAAATCTGATAACGGATTCGTAATCAGCGACCCCAAGAACTCTTGTATACAAAGTTTCACAAAAAAATGGTTCAATAGAAAAATGTATGCTTCAAAGGGTTAAATTAAAAAAAGATAGACATATTTTAACACCTTTCTACACATATAATTTAATTATTAGTTTACCAAGAGGTTGGAAAACCCGGCCCTTAGAGAAACAAAATGCACCCGGTTGGCTACTTTTACGATTCGTTTGCGCGCAATGCCCTTTAAATGGCCGTGCTCATTAGCAGCTACGTTCCCGTTTGCGAAGCCGATTATGTGTTACATCCATGGGCGTTTAAACGGGAATTTTTGCGGGCTTCGATGTCTCGCTTCAATACGGATTATTGAATACGATATCGCGCACGAAGGCGCGCTGTAACGCGACATGCGATCAACGCATTCGCGGCGCGTGTCGGGGCTGTTCGTCGAAAAATTCTTTTCCCACGTAAAGTATTACATTATATTCGAGTATTGTAATACTTGACGTAACGTGACAATTGATTTTCGCGAATTGCAAAAGTAAGATTATGCTCGCTCTTGCGCAGGATCGCCGGCGGACAATGTGGACACTCTCGAGGTGAGCGACGAGATTTTGGAAGTGAACGGCCGCACCTTGGAAAATGCGTCGCACAACGAAGTCATTCAATACATACATCAGGTAGTGACAGCATATTTCCAATTATTTGCGCTCGTTTCACGGTTTACTTCACATTTCTTTAAATAAATTACCATCGCCCTTTTAAAAGTCACAGTAACATAATTAATAAAAAGATATTTCTATGTGAGAAAAAAAAATGAAAAATGTGCGCGGAGAAAATTTTTTCTTGAAGTGTACCCTAAAAATCATGTCATCGTGGAGCAACATGACGTTTCGAAGAATTTTATGAGAGTTTTTGGAAATTTCACCAAACATTTTCTAGTGAAATGTTTTCGGAAAAAAGGGTTTCGGACATATTTTAAGAGAAAATTCTCCCTGTGTGTAATCTAGGCGATTTTTGGCGATTGTTTGGTACATAAACTAAAGTGTACCAGAGCGTACACTCGGCGTAATGAAGGCTTTTACACCTGGAAATAGCCGTTAAGTTGAATATATCCCGAGAGAAAAATACATTTTGTTAAAATAAATTTTTCTATTGGATATCTTTAGCGTCTCTCGTCAGGCTGAGTGTACACTCTGGTACACTTTGGTATATGGTAGAGACAGGCTCCTAATATGGGATGGCGGGGTTTGCGTTAAATTAATAGGCATCATCAGTTGACTCCACCATGAATTTATTGCTCTTGGAGCGAAATCCGTTTAGTGGAAAATTCATTGTTAGGTCGTGTAATCGTCGCGAAGAAAGATTTGTGATTGAATTTGGCCGTCGAAAACCTGCTGTCTCATAATAGAGAACTTTCCTCTATATTTTTATATCTTCGTGATTATATCCAATACAAATAATTGCGTTTCCTTTGATTTCAAGTGCATCAAATCTCGAACGATATGTCTGCGTCTACGGAGGAGCGGAAACAAGATGGGTGAGTCTTGCTTTCTAATGCATCTGCATATTTAAACGTAATCAAGTGACATATACAATATTTCGAGCCACCAAATGTTAAGAAATAAGACGGAAATAAGCGAAGCGCTCGGGAAAAAATGGCAAAGCCGGGGGGGACGAATTTGATTATATCTTGAATTACAAACAGCGAGCGTGTAATAGTGTGAAACGATTAGGCGCTAGAAAATGGGAGAGAATAAGAGACTAGATCTGAAACGGAGCTACACACTTCTCACGTGAATGCACCTGCGTCCTCGTTTCGAATGCTGGCGACGTGTTGCTCTTTGAACAGATGTTTTTAAAGCAAATGAGACATTTTAACGTCAACGAACGGTGTATCGTCGCTTTATCGCAACCGTGCCCGGGTAAACGCTCGTGCGAATTTGAATACGGTTTAAATACATTGGCCACGGTCGATTTCACGTTGCCCCGCGCCGTATTCTCGCCCCCTCGTCTGCTAAACGCGGCGGCGTTTCAAACGCACGCCGTGGAAACGTCACGCGCGACGACAGTGGAGACGAAAATAAGAATTTGGTCGCGGAATAGGAGGAGGAGGAGGAGGAGGAGTCGCAATTGATATTGACACGTTCCTGCCGGACGCAATTTTCCGACCAACGGTGCTCGGAGCGACGGGGAATATTCGTGAAATTCCGGAAAAGTCTCTCCGAGCGTGAACGGCGCATTCCTTTCTGTCAAAAGTCGCGGATTCGCGTGTCGAGACAGTCGCGCGTGAGAGAATTATGAATCTAGATTTGCGCCCTATTGCGCCTCGAAACGAGTTTAATTATTTCGCCTTTATTTCCGCCCCCTCGCCCTTGCCGTCGCCGGTCGGCGTGCGGCGCGGACGATAACGCGCCGCTGTCATGCAGACACTGATAATATAGTGATTCATTCGTATGAATGGCGCCGCTATATTGCGCGCGCTGATAACAGGTTTATTGCAATCGATTTCAATATTGCATCCGTGAAGTGGACGCGAATTACAAGCCCTTTAATTCGTTTAATCACTCGAATCCAACCTGCGTATCATTATTTTTGCCCGGTATTTATCGAAACCCGTAATACATTTCTCTGCATTCTGATTGCTCCAATAAATGCCCCCTCCCTCTTTCTCATTAAGCCGTTTCATTCTGTTTACGGGCGGCATTACGGTTGCTGAAATTCGCAACGTGGCGCGCGGCGCGTGGCCGGTTCGATTCTCGAGTCGCGTTTGCGTCACGCGACCTTGGGGACCCGTCGACCGAATTCGGACGCGTTCCTCGGGCAATTAGGCGTTTGTTTAGGCGCACGTCGGGCGCTCCGCGAGCGACGGAAAGACGCGGTCCGAGGAATCGCGAAGCGGCGCGGCGCGGCAAAATTCGAACGGCTCTCAGGGGGCCCGTCTCGGCCGATCCCGGGAAGGCTCGTGCGAGTCCGGCGTTCGCCAGGTAAACGCTCCAGGTGGCCGCGTACGGTATCGCGGTGGGGCGGGCGGGAGGCAGGAGTGGAGAACTCCGGAGGTAGAGGCAGGTAGGCAGGTAGGCAGGCGGACGGGCCAGCGGCCTGTATATGGCGGACCAGGAGGTATAACCTTCGAATGGTATCCGCTGTCACGCTCCGCGCGGCAGTACGGAGGTGCCCGTTCGTACGCGCGCGCGCCAAGCGGTTCCGCGCGCTCCGTTCCATGCTGGTGCCGCGACCGCGAGTTCGTTTTCGCGCGGTGACGACGACGACGACGACGACGACGACGACGACGACGGTGCGGCTTTCCACGTTGGAGAACGCGCGATCTCTCGCTCCTCGTCTGGTGAATCGCGAAGTGCCATATCGGGCGAAGCCACGGGAACGCGGCAACGTGCTGCGCTCGCGTTCCGCGCGCGTTCGCCAGGTCGTCGTCTGTGCCGGGGCGGTGGCGGCGGTCGAGCCGCGATCCCGCGATCGATGCGCGCGTGACGGAGCAGTGAATTTCGTGATCGATTGGTGCTATCTGGTGGTGATCCGTTCGACAGGGTTGGCCGCTGCACGAGCGAGTTGAACGCGCTTGCCAGGCCAGCGAGGAGGCTCGTCCTGCCGCCTCTCGCCTCCTTGCCCATTGCTTTCTCTCTCATCCTCGTCGGTCGTCATCCCGGCGACCTGTCGATCCGTCCAAGGTAACTGGCTTTTCTCCTCTTGTTCCTCGTCGCGCGCGCGCTCTCTTCTCGCTTCTCTCTCGGCACTTTTGAGCGAACCCGCGTGCCAAGCCTCGCGCAGTTTCGGGGCCGCGTGTTCTGGTGCACCGCCATCGGTACCAGAACGTGCCAGAACGCCGCTTCTCTTTCTCCGTCTCCGCGCCGCCTCGTCCTCCTTCCTACTCTCTCCCTTCCTCCTTTCCGCCATTCGTCTCTCTTTCACCGTCTCTTGTGACATGTCGACTTCGCAATATCACGCGCGCCACTTCTTTCCGATACACACCTCGTCGCGCCGCGGTTTTCAGCTCGCGTCCGCACTGTTTACGACCCGCGCGGCGTCCGCGCCGCTCGCGGGGACTCACTTTTATTAAGTCTCTCTTTTACCGCTTTGTCACGCATGTGTCGGATAATTCTTTAGCGGCCGTTTCATCGCGCGTAATCTTTTTTCACGATTCGTCGCTTTTGCGAATCCCCCTCCTCCTCCCTCCCTCCCTCCCTCCCTCCCCGTGTCGCGGGAATATTAACGGATTATCAATTTCACCGTAGAAATATCTTACTCGATCTATATTCATTTTTTATCCACACGGTTCGATGCAATTTTTTTTCCACGATCCGTCATCGCCACTCTCTCGCGACAGCTCGTAATTATTTAACTCTCCCGCGCGTTCTCTCTTTTTTTCTCTCTGTCACAATTAAAAAGTCCGCGTTAATACGTTCCGCATGAATGTTTTAATCCTATATAAATTTGCATACGAAGGCCAGATGTGTTCTGTTAATATTATTCCTCTCTCTTTCTCTCCTCTCTCTTCCACTCTCTCCCTGTCTCT